ACTGTGGCAGCCAAGGAACCCACCCCAAAACTCACCACACTCTCAGCTTTTTAAAAAGCTCTTATGGCCCAGCTGTTCCTCAGACACCCTTCAGCTTCCTGGAGAAATTCTGGATCAGCACCACCAAAAACATCCCCTCAAAACAACTCTCTGCTCAAGACAGACACCCAAAAACCCGCCCTCACGCTTGTGCCTCCACATCCAATAGCACTTGGCTTTTGCCATGGGTTTTCCAGGCTGTAAATCCCAGCAAGCAGCAGCACAAGGGCTCTGGGTCCCCACAGCAAAGGGTGTCAGAGGCAGTGAGATCACAGTGCCCGGGGCAGCCACAGCTCCCTCTCCTGAGCCAATCCCCCCGTCCACTGCCCCTGCCGGGTCCTGCATTTTGGGGCAGGTCCCACCCCTGCTGGGCTGCAGCAGGTCTGTGCAATTGGAACCTGCTGCACATTAAGGTTTAAGCCTGGTCTTATCTGGGAGGGGATTTAAGGGTGGAAAAGGAAGCAGTGACCAGTTTCTGACGGTCTTCTATGGACTGCAGGTACTGCTGCTTGCCCTCCTTGGACTTGTCCTTCTTCTTCAGGTACGGCTCGATGGATTTGTACTGGGCGTAGAAGTTGCTCAGGTCCTGCAGCCACAGAGCAGAGAGGTCACATTTACTGAGCTGAATTTACACAATTACAGAACACCCTGAGCTGGAAGGGACTCACAAGGACCGAGTCCAACTCCTGACCCACAACAATCCCCTCTGTCCCTCAGAGTGTTGTCCAAATCCTCCTGCAGCTCTGGCAGCCCTTGGGGCTGTGACACTGCCCTGGGGAGCCTGTTCAGTGCCAACCACCCTCTGGGGGAAGGACCTTTCCTGAGATCCCCCCTAATCCTCCCCTGACACAGCCTCCTGTCACACCAGACCAAATTTATGCAGCACAGATCCAATCTCTGCCCCCACTCCAACAAAAGGTGGCATTTCCGACCTCAACCTGCCACATTCCTCCCAGTGAGGACACATTTAGTCACTGCAGACCCACCCAAAAACCAGCAGCACGAGGAACACGTGAAATGTGAGCCCTGATCTCGGCTGGCACCTCCCAGGGCCATCCTTCCCACCCCAAACCTG